GATAAGCGCAAGTAAGTACCATTTCGATTAGCCGTCGTACCTACAATGACTGTGCACTGTGTAAACTATGAGTGATGTATACGCGCGAGAGATCACTTCCGGCGCTTGCGTAAACTACACCAGAGCGCATACACACCTCACGCACCAGATGCCTGCGCGTGCTCAAAGCAGTTGGAAATAGTGGTGTATTAGAGGTAAAAAATTATATAAATACTGTTCGGTTTCTTGCACAAACCGATCGTTTCATGTCTTAGGACATCAATGTGTCGTCACGAGCCGCAGGGTTTAATTTGGATTTGTCTGTGCATGTTTACTCTCATCGATTGTGTTACCATTGCCATGCATTATACGACTGATAGACTGCAACAGTTGGTTTCATTCATTAATTGTCATTAATTGTGATAATATTTTCTATATAATGTATTAAAAAAGTAATTTGGTGAAAAATATAACTTGGTGAAAACTTAGTGAATAATATAAAGTCTAGTCTCTTTCAAGAGTGCAAAGGTCATATATGCAGCTAAATGGAAAGAAGATGAGGTGTTTGGTCTTAAAGGGATAGTTCACCTAAAAATGAAAATTTGATGTTTTTCTGCTTACCCCCAGGGCATCCAAGATGTAGGTATTAATCTTACAAGTGTTTTTTTTTCACTAAATGTTTTTTAAACATATCAGCTGTTGTTGACAAAAGTATAAGGGGACACAACTGTAAACAACAAAGAGTATTGAAATAGTACACTTACAAGTATACTACTGGGACACTGATATTTGTATACTTACTACATAAAGTATACTTAAAAATATACTTGAACTTTACTTAAGTATACTTACTAAAATAAACTTGAAGTATACTACTTTTTGGTAAGGGTATACTGCCACTGCCTTCATAACCTGTCCAAAACAAACAGTAAACAGCTCTGAGGAAATATTTAACATCCAAAGTATTTGTATTCTGTATCTTTATGAATAAAATCATTTATTTTATGCAGAGTATCAGGCTTTTCCATCACGCGATAAGACCGACGTTAGGTGATTCACACCACACGCCTGTATGTTGCTCTGCATGAAGTTGAACGATATACAGCACAGTAACGATTTTATGTATAAAATAAAATGTACACAAACCTGTATTTTACCAAAGAAATGCATCAATTCGATGGCGCTTAGAACTGCTCTCTCCAGAAGAGAAGGCAAAATCCCTGCGATAAAAACCCCTGGGTTACGTCTGACCCAGGATCTGAGTAATACAAAAACTACCCAAACATTGGGTTGTTATGTCTGACCCAGGAGCTGGCTAACACAAAAACTACCCAAACACTAAAAAAATAACCCAAAAGGCTCAACCCAGCATTTGGGTTAAAAAAAAGTGTATATAAAGTATTGCGTTTTGAGGGATTTAAGAGGTAATGAATGAGTGATAATGTAATAGTTTGAATGAAATAATGTATTTCAACACAGATTAATTTCAAAGTGAAAATGTTGCTGTTTTTAAAATATATTTAAAAAAAAATGGTTTTGTCCTATATCTCAAGAATCAGTTGAAAAATTGTGTAGCTTATCCTTGATAATCAGTTGAACGGGGAACTTGGATCTTGGGCTACTCAGAGGACGACAAAAACATATTTTGAATCATAATGACATATAATAATTCACGAATGAAAATCATCTCAGCGTGATGGGGTGATTTGGGGTAGCTGAGTCTGGTTTGGTTTGATGGAGGGTGAATGAGAGGGTGTGTTTAACAAGTTCTTGGTACAAATGAATGAGTGATGGTGGAGGTGAAAGTTGTGTGAAATGGTGTGGAAACATCAAATTGAAAGAGCACATTCTTGGTGAAAGATGGTTGCAATACTCCAGAACGGATAAAACGGTGTTTAATGGCTGCATGTGGTGAAGGCTCTCTGGAACCGTGTGGAGAGCTGCAGACAGGGTTGAATGGAGGCTTCACAGTAGATGACTGTGGAAATGGTGCGTTCTGGTGCAGGCGAGAGAGTGAAATGATTCTTTTCTTAAATTGTGTGGCATGGTGAAAGTTTGATGTACTTAATTTGACTCTGTTGTGTCTAATGCCTTTTTCCCTCCCTTTCTGTCTCACATTAGGAAATGGCTATGGAAACCACCGTAACTCTCCAGGACTTCTGGTGTCCTCCGGAGGCATGAACAAGAGCATGCAGGCCAAGTCCCCTCCACCGGTGAACCTGGGGATGAACAGCCGTAAACCTGACCTACGGGTGCTCATCCCACCCGGGGTCAAGAACAACATGCCCTCTATTGTAAGTTCATCACTGTGTGTTGTATTGAATTTTACCAAGAGCCCTGATGGTACCACATCCATAAAACCATGCTCCTCAGTTCCTTCATAATCCTCTGTGGTTCTCCTCTCCTTTCTTCTCATTTCCTCTCCAGTAGTTTCATAAGCTGAAAAGCACAGGTTAGAATCCATCATAATTAGTCTCCTCAGCTTTGATCTTGTTTAGTAAAGCGCTCACCTGTTGGTTCACGTAGTGTCATAGGCGGCCATCAGCTTCACTCACAGCCAATGACACTAATTCTGGATTTATCACCCTCCCTTTACTGCCATCAGTCTGAGGATATTGACCTTCTATTGGTAAGTGACACTGTCACTCAAACCTGTTACATAGGCTTATAGACCCGAAGGCCATTTTTCATCCTCATACGCATAAAAAACTGCTAGTTGTTCAGCTTATTGTTCTTATGCCAATAATGCCCACGTTGACCTGTAAACATGCTTAAATGCAATTTCCTAAGTTGTATTAGTGAATAAGGAACATTTTCGCAATCAAGCTCCAGAGTGACATCTAGTGGCAACATGAGTCTCGTTTTCAGGTCTCATTGACCTCGCTATCTCCACCTCTGCTTTTCACTGCTTTTCTTAATCTCTGTCACATCGTTCAGTCATCATGCCAGCACGACAGACCCCTCTGTTGCTGGTTCTGTTGCCTTGGAGACCTTGAGTTTCTATAGCGACCAAGTGCCCTGTGAGGGATTGTAAATCATAGGTTGAGAGGGTTCAGTGGTGCTTCATGTCAAGTGATTATTTCTTCACTCATTATTTTGGTGGGGTGGTGGTGCTCATTCAGTTGTTTGATGAAGATACGGGTATGTTGACGTGACAAGTCATCTGTATGTGTTCCTCTGCTCTCTTCCTCTTCTTATAGAATCAGAGAATAAACAACTCTCAGTCTGCGCAGTCACTGGCTACCCCCGTGGTTTCTGTAGCGACGCCCACTCTACCAGGACAGGGAATGGGCGGCTACCCATCAGCCATTTCCACCTCATATGGTACTGGTATGTAGAACTTGACCTCTCAAAAAACTATATTCACAGACACTGACAATGAATATACGTTGTACTATATACACATTTCACATCTTAAGTAGAATATTTCAAATGCTTTCCTATAGAGGAATACATTGTTATGCAAGAATTTCGAAGGATTGTACAGATATATGTGCAGGTTCCTTGGTTAAGTTATGGGTGAGTGGGTATTTCAGGAAAAAAACAACTGAAGGATGGAGTGGCATCGCAGAGACGAAGGACTTTAAATCAAGAGCCATGTTACTTCAGTCTGATGACGTTTTAATCTAAGACTTGCAGTTGTTGTTCAGTATTAAAAGAAGAAAAAGAGAAAAAAAATGGTATGATACACTTGCTTATATTTTCATATCAAAAAGGAATACAATGCAAAGCATTTTTGTGGCTTTTTGTAGTTTATAAGAGCCAGAATGTGTTTTGATAGCTTTGCTTATATGAGAAATGATAGTAAAAGGACGAGAAACCTTGGGCTTTTCAACCATAAGCCATGAAATCTGAGACAGTGAACCCTTGATTTGCTCAATGTTTATTTTTCTCTCTCTCTGTCTTTCTCTCTCTCTTTGTAGAAGTTTTGTTTTTAAACGTGTATTTCCAAGTATATTGAATAATAATATTAAGAATCTTTTTTTAAAAATATGTGAAATTAACATGCTTGTGTATAGCTTTCTAATATATGAATATATATGATAAAAATTTATGTTCATAACTTTTTCCCCATTGCGGGGATGTGCAGTTGCACACGTTAATTGTTTTATTGTTTTTTTGTTCTTTTTTTCCTCCTCCGGACTGAGTCTTTCAGGGGCAAATACATTCAGAATGATGCTTTCAAATTTAAGTCACACTCATAAATATGCCCCCTTTTTTAATAAACACAAGATATCCACTTTGGTCTGGAATATTCACAACCTTTTAAAGTTCCCAGTGTCACATTAATCGACATTGCACTGAAGATTTTATAAGACAGCACAGTCATAGATACCTCATGACTGCTTGTGTAAGCTTGTGTCATCATTTAGTGGATTGTGACTAGTTTTGTTCAGTTGATATACATATCTATCATTGTGCATTCTGTGATTTTGACAGAACATATGTTAGTCAGTTTTTTCTACCAAAGACAAAAAAATGGTTATGTTTGCCGTTTGAGACCATTGTGTTTTTTCACAAGTTGTTCATGCTAGTGGCTGGTACCTCTGACTCACCTTCCCAGTGCCTCAGATTACCTTTCAATGAGTTGGTCTTGTTGATAATTGGGAACATTCTCCTATAACTAACAAGTGTACAGTATTGTGAAAGATGCCATTGTTTGTTATATAGATTTCAGCTGTCCATGTATGACTTTCCGGTTATTTTTCTTTCTTACTTTTTCTTTTTTCTTGTTTTTAGATTGACCTTTTTTTTGGTTGACCTTTTCATTTCTCTCTCTCTCTCGCTCTCTCGAGTGTTGTTTCCATTAAGCATATAAATAACAAAATAAAAATAAAAAAAAAAAGCTGAAAAATTCTGTAGTAACAAATGTAGCTTGTATAAACCTACAGTGGGTAAGGTTGAAAGAATTTTTTTTTCTAACCAGGAGAAAGAGGCTTTCAGCGGCACAAGCTGGACTTTGTCGCCACTTGAAGACAAGATGTAATTAAATTAAACCACATCTCTGTATCTCAAGGGACTTGATTCAGCTGTATGTAGTACAAATTAATGTATGGAATAAAAATTGTTTCTCCTGCTGGGACTAAAAAAGGTATTTGTATTTTGCAGAGAATTCAGTAAAGTTTTACTGGCTTTCTTAGTTACACAAATGTCATGGTGTGATTTATATTGTGTTTTGTCCTTCAACTCGACTGCAACATATCTGTGTGAACATGTATTTATTCAGTATCTCTAAACCAAACATGTTTCCACTCAAAATGATTAATCGCAGAATTTATCAGAATTGTTATTATTATTATCATTATTATAGGCTACAGATTTGTTCAAGCTGTGGTCATTACGTGTCTTAAAATTCAGGTATACACATAAGACTTTACCACTCATGCTGTGTAGTGTCGCACCATAGAAGCTGTGGTAGTCAACAAACACTTAATTTGACTGAATAAAATATTCATCATATATTCACACATTCATACAACCTCTCAGAACAGAACAGGTTTATTTTTTGGAATGGTATGCAAAAATTACTCCTGCAACTTAAAAGAGACAATTGAATTATCTGTCCCAAGAGAGCACACGGATATCTGTGACGAGCAGTTTGTTCAGCCAATCAGAAGGCTTTCAGGCGCTTTCTTTCGCGTGCACAGCAGCCAGTGAAACCGGAAGCTGAGCTTGGAGAATTTTCATGAGTTTAGAGAGTGTAAAATGTTCAAGATTTTTCACCTGTCAACAACGGCCTACACAGCCAAACCGCCTAAAAGACAATAAAATAAAGAAACCAAATCAGGAAGAAAACAGCTGCACATTGGTAAAGCTTTTCTGTGTTTTGAAGGAGGTAAGAGCTTCAAAACGGTTATAAACAAATTCTGAGATTTCTTGGCTTCTGCTTTAATAGTGTTTGGTCCCCAAGGTTTAACCAAAGTGGCAGGATTGTGGAAGGATGCACATGTTTAATTTGACGGTACTTCTGATGAACATGCAACTGCTAACATCGCGCACACAACACCGGGAATATTCTTCCGATAACAACATCCCCTGTTCAGAATTCTTCATTCTTCATCGTTTTCTCCCCTGTAAATATGTTTAGCTCCCGAACGTTAATGAAATATTTGTTCTAACATATTTATTGATATAATTGGTATTAACAGTGGTAATATTAAGAGGCATTTAGTAGTAGGCTATGCGTTATAGCCTAAACCAAGGGTCTTCTTCAACCGGGGGTCTGCAGCGGCACTCCCTGTTGAAAAAAACAGCATATGCTGGTTAGGTATGTTTTGACGCTGGGATGCTGGTTTATGCTGGTCCTTTGCCGGTTTATGCTGGTCCTTTTGCTGGTTTATGCTGGTCATGTGCTGGCAAAGGACCAGCATAAAGCAAAAGAACCAGCATAGACCAGCAAAGGACTAGCTTAAATCAGCAAAGGACCAGCTTAAACCAGCAAAGGACTAGCTTAAATTAGCAAAGGACCAGCTTAAATCAGCAAAGGACCAGCTTAAACCAGCAAAGGACCAGCTTAAATCAGCAAAGGACCAGCTTAAACCAGCAAATGACCAGTTTAAACCAGCAAATGACCAGCTTAAACCAGCAAAGGTCCAGTTTAAACCAGCAAAGGACCAGCTTAAACCAGCAAAGGACCAGTTTAAACCAGCAAAGGACCATCTTAAACCAGCAAAGGACCAGTTTAAACCAGCAAAGGACCAGCTTAAACCAGCAAAGGACCAGCTTAAACCAGCAAAGGACCAACTTAAACCAGCAAAGGACCAGTTTAAACCAGCAAAGGACCAGCTTAAACCAGCAAAGGACCAGTTTAAACCAGCAAAGGACCATCTTAAACCAGCAAAGGACCAGCTTAAACCAGCAAAGGACCAGCTTAAACCAGCAAAGGACCAGCTTAAACCAGCAAAGGACCAGTTTAAACCAGCAAAGGACCAGCTTAAACCAGCAAAGGACCAGCTTAAACCAGCATCCCAGCGTCAAAACATACCTAACCAGCATATGCTGTTTTTTTTTTCAACAGGGCTGCACTGCAGGGAGTCCGCCAATTAATGTTTGATTAAACATTAATCAAACAAAATTAAAACATGGTTAAAAAAATAAAAACATCACAATGTCCGTTTTAAATAAGCAACGAAAGCATGGAAGAGCACCTTCAGTTGATACTGTAATGAAATAATATTATTGGCGAAACAGATTTAGCAAACGCTCCATAGTGTTTCTGAGTTTGAGAGATGCAGCCAATCAGAGATGTTCGTTGATCTCTTGAACTCAATGGCTACTCAGAAGTGTGTACACCGCAGCCGAAGTTTTGTTCAGTGTTGAGTTATGCTCGCTCCAGCGAATCATTAACAAAGAACGACAAGATGTAAGTAAGCAATTCATTATGCAGTGTAGACAACCTCGTTGGTTTTAAAGCAACTTGTGAGATCGCGAAATGAGATGAGTGACAGTTTTTTAGTGATTGTAAAGTAAATGCAGACTAATAGATTACTAGATAAATATTCCTATTACTATTTTTTTTAAATCATTTTTATTTTTTAAATCTGCAACTTTAAATCCCTCACTAATTTCAGATACTCAGTGATTCTTAATTGTCCATCTCACAATACAATTAAAATGTTACGTTTTAGTAAACATGAAGCTAAAGTTCAAGTAGCCTAAATGTTTATTTGTCCATCTGACAGTAAAATTCAAATGTGATTTGTTTTTGTTTTTTTAAATAAACTTGTAGCTGAAGTTCAGGTAAATGTAAATGCTTATCTGACTAGTAAAATGTAAATATATGACTCTGCAAATCCATAGAAATAATAGGCCTATACAACAGCAGCAAACAACTAATGAATTGTTTGTTTTTTTTTATCTCAACAAAAAAAAAATCCGTGCAATAAACTTTAAGGCTTACAACTGCATCATCTTGATCAGGCATTTATCATTTGTAACCCGCGTATTGGCCAGCAGTGGCTGCGACACTGTTTATTTATTTATTTTTTAAAGCATTTTTTTCAAAAGAAAATTAACTTTTGAAATGTCTCTTTGTTTACCAACATATTGCCTGGCTTTATTAAGGGCTCTGGCTTATGTAAAGCGGAAAGAATGGACGACTTTTCCCTCGTATGTGTACAGTCAGCTGCACAGTAGGCTACTCGATATAGCCTAATTTACAAGAGCGACAATAGTTAGTCATCACTGATAATTGAGGGTGACAAAAATATAACAGGCTCTAACAAAGAAATCTACCATAAAACCAATATTTGGATAGCTACATGTTGTGAAAACTCTTCCTATTATCGTGCGTGTACTGGATCTTATTATCCCCCAAATAGAAATGTTGTGTATAGCCTAACGTGTCTACAAAAAAGAAATTGACTCAAGGCTCTTATATAATTTAATGTAAGCAAGTATTCATCCATCTATCAATAGCCTAAGTGTTTACAGTTTGAAATCGTTTTAGGCTATCGATCAGTTTGCTTTTGAGAGATCCGTCGTAGATTTAATGGAAGCTTTGAGCGAGAAAATCTAATACATAATCAAATCTAATTCAAATGATATAATATTTTGAATTTGTGAATGGTATGTTCACGTGGAATTATGAAATCGTTACATTTGTTTCTGCACGAGTTCGCGATAGAGCGTTACACCACTAGATGTCACCACGTGTTACAGAAATGCATTACGGTGACTCACATTTCATTTCCAACTTCGAAAGAACTTGTAGAGAATGAATGGCTGAGGCAATATTTAGAAATGGCTTGAAATATCATTTAGAATATAGTTTGTTATTTCATTGCCTTACACCTTTAGAGGAATTGGCCACGAGGTTATGTGTTCTACACGGAAAATAAAAATATAGCCCAACGGTTAAATAAGGGGAAGGGGAAAAAATCGTTAATATTATGAAATATGTGTAAATACCCACCGTTTCATCTTAATCCTCTGTTAATCGTAGCCTATGTGTGCACTGCATTATTCGGCAGAGCTAAACAATGGAAAGAAAACATGAATGTCTTTGTATTGAATTAGCCTATACCAGGAAATCAGCCTCTCTCTCTCTCTCTCTCTCTCTAACATCCGTTTAACTCACTTAAACAACAAGTGTCTTCATATATGTATAGCCTATTATAGCCTATATATCTATAGCGATAATATGTATTGTGAAAAGAACCACGAGAGAGAAAAAGGAGAGGAGAAAGTGAAATAAGCCGTATACGGCTCGATTAGACGCTAGACATTTGAGAGTTTCTTGTTCTCATCATTTACACGCGTAATTAAAGAGGCTGGATTACATATTATTTGATGCCATACGTGACCATTAAGTTTGTTACATTTTTCCTTTGACTGTATGTTTATCTACGTCGATAAGAATAATTATATTAACTTTATATTTTCAATCTAATAACAGCTAGTCTTGTATATTTACAGGGACACGGGGGAAACAAACATTCTGTTCAAGATACGCAAAAACATTTATTTTTTCATGTTTCATCTAAAGTAGTGTGGGCTAGCGGTTAAAACGTGTGAAAGAGTCAGTGTATACAAAAATCCCGCAAATGCCATTTTCTCTCAGTGAAACGTCTATTTTTATGAGCCTCGAAAACAGTCTATTAAGACACTTTTGGATTAGGCTTCAAGGGTGTCATCGGGAATAGCCTGAAATCTCTTTTCATTCTCCGCGAAGTCATATGCACGCTATGTTAACTTTATACTTACTATATCAGACTACGAAGACACCTCAATGACAAAAAACAAAACAAAATAATGTTTAGAATTTAATGCAAAATAACGTATCATGAAAATAAATTAAGATTTGAAGATAACTAACAGAATGCATTCTCCAATTAAACATAACTAGTTTTATATTATACAAGGTTTATGTTATCATTCAGGACTTTATGGCGAGTCATTGTCTCCCATTATATTTATAGGAGCTGTGGGAAAGTTTGAAATCCTTTTCTCTATAGGTTTTTAATATGCATAAGTATGGTAATCGCGGTCCTGCTGTGTTGCAAACAGGCGCAGCAGATCATGTGCTACACAACTTCGGACCGTACGAAGTCGCCGAGATGAGGACATGCAGAGTCCAAGTAAGTCCTGGTTCTCTCATTGACGTCTGTTCGCATAAAGAGATAAAGCAGGGCTGTCTGAAGTTTGTTAAAGGCGGAAAGCATGCGAGCATAGGACAGCACGTGTGTTGACCCATTGGGAGTAAATCTTTACGTGTGCCCGTCTGACCACTTCTATTGGGTGCCAGATCAGTTGAGCAAAGGTTCACAAGATGAAGATCAGACGCTTTACGATTAGGAACTATGAAGAAGAAATGCCTAAGATTGCGCAAAAAGTTCTGGAAAAGAGTCATGACTCGAAAGTGAATGCAGTTATATTAATAGGAAGTGGATATTAGGCCTAATGATGACTTTAGCGGTAAGTTTTGACGACGATGATGTTTGAGTGAATGGCAAGTTCAAAGCAATAGATCTCGTTTGTCAATTAATTGTCTAATATTTGCCTCATGATTTCAGCTTTTCTTTTTTTTAGACTACTAGCAGACTAATTGCCCATGTGGGTTACGGCAGCTAAAGAGAACTAAAGACATGATGCTCATTTTTGAATTATTTTTGAATATTCATAAAAACTGTTCTCTAATAATAATGGGTTATTACTGTTAAGTGCATAGAAATTTTGCATAGACGACTTCAGATTTTATGCAACTGTTTCCTTTGTCTAGTAGCTAACTACAGTTGTAGTATCTTTTAACCGACTGTTTCTGAAGGAGAGATGCTCCAAATTAGTGATATGCTAATATAACACAATGCTCTTTGTGCCTTTTTGTTTGAGCCGCTCAGATGTCTTTGTTCGCTTATAATGCTTTTGAATATTTACAGTGGTATTTTATAATATGTATAGCTGTTGTAGGTTCCTAAATAAAGAATAAGAGAGAAAAAAGGCGTTACGTATTGTTTAACCTACTTTAAATAGATGAAATTATACAATAGCAATGCTGTAACCTATAGGCTACAATATAAAATCAGCATCGCGAAGAGCCTAATCATTCTGCCAAATGCGAATGAAATAGAATGGAATCAAAACAACGCAGCCACCGTGAATGCAAAGGAAATTCAAATATACCTTTTACATATTTATCAGTATTAAAGTGCACTTTTCTATTTGGTGCTGCAGACAAATAGGTTATGGGAAACTTCTCAACCCCTCCTCTCTCTCCCCCCCTCTCACTGGCTCTCGCTTATACGGTAGCTGTCGTTCTCGTGCGCTTGGACTGTGCTCTTGTGAGAATCAGAGCCGCTGAGGCACGCGTAATGAACTGAGTATTAGCGGCAATTTTAAACCGAAAGCTCTCCGTGCACGCCGGCTTCTTACCTACAGCAGGAGTTGCATCTGGCCACGTCGACTTCGGCATAATTAAAAAAAAAAAAAAAAACTTTGCTCAAGTGAGTACATCTGGAAACACTTCTATTTTTTTATTTTTTGTGGCCATTAAAGATAACACAGTGCTATTAGTTGCATTACAGACTTTGACGAAAGAAATTTCACATGATGCAAAATTGTACATATGAGTTGTTTTATTTTTTTAGATATTACAACGTCATAGATGTTAACATACTTTGAACTGACAAAGACATCGTTTTGATTGATAGGTTTGTTATCCACTTACTGCACTCAATTACAGTTCTCACGGCACAGAAAGTATATAGGCATGAGTATGTAATCGATTTAAAAATAAGATTCTGATATCAGTGGTCAGAATATGAGGGCATCAACATATGCTAGCAATGGAAACCACCTTACTCTGTCTAGAGAGCAGCTGCTATACATACCTTTGCGTGCTGACTGTCAATGCCAGAGGAACGATCGCAAGAATCTAGTCAGAATCTCACTGATTTCCATGTATTCAGACGCACTGAAATTTCAAACCCTCGTGAGCGAGGGTGATTGGCATTGCCTCTCAAATATTTCCATCAAGTATGCTCGTCGTTGAAAATACGTCGTGCGAACAGCAAAAAGGATCGCCGCTTCAACCTGCACGAGGGATGCAAACGCACTCTGGAGATTTCTAATGCCATCATCATCATTATCATCATCGTCACCACCTTGCACTCCCGTGGTCCGAGACCTTTGACCTTCTCTGGCTGGTCCATATTTTGGTACTGGAAGCCCGTCCCCCCCGCTTACCCCTTCCGCCCCCCGCACCCCACTCCTCGAGATGTGGCCCTGTTCCCTCTCTCAGACCGCTGGCAGCAGCAACACAATCCTCCTCTCGTCTCTCTCATAGCAGCTCTCAGGGATCTGTGGCATTGCCGATCTCCTCCGTGCACGGACAGCCTGCCACCCCTCGGCCAAAAATAAGAGAGATCTCTCCATTCAGTGCCGAAACAAACGCGATGTTATTTCCGTGTGCACTTTTTTTCTCTGGAATCGGATTTTTCCTTTGTATGATCTCGCTGCTGGTTCCGTGGGATATCTATCGCTGCTGCCACGATTTAATAGATCCAAAGGAGCCTTTTGTGAGATTGGGAGGTAATTTGCAATGCAAATGATGGCCTGTGCGAGGATGACTGCTTCTTATTCGACAGACTCCCTTACTCCAGCTCTCATATTGTTTTAACATTAACTGCTCCGATGTCAAATGGATTATAGCTTCCGTTTTGATTCTCATTACCCTGTGAAGAAACTGTTCTTTATTTTTGCCGCGAGCATACCTACTTTTAAGAACTACAAATGACAATTGTTAAGTCCCGTGCCTATTTGTATTTTTTTGTATTTATTGTTTTGCAACTTCTTCACTTGGATTTATTCTTGCACAAGACACGGAGGTATCCGGGGATTACTGTTGTGGAATTGGAAGCGAGTTGTTATCTTTGGTTATCTAGCTGTATGAGTATGTTGCACTTCATAAAGCTAGATAACCGAAAGTAAAAACTGCCTCCTGGCTCATCGAAAACTCTGGATGCCTAATTTCACGAAGATATATTAAAATCAATTGTATTATAGGCTATTTTATGCCAATACATTTGGAGAGCTGCTATAGCTACACACAATGTCAGACAATAATTTGGGTTTTATTATTATTATATTTATTTATTTATTTTAGGTTTCATTTGGTGTTTTGCTGCTTTGAAAAGTAGCCTATGCATATTCTATTTAACGCAAGCGTGCAAAAAAATGTAAACGTTAACGCAAGGAAACAAAAAAAGTTCTTAACAGACGTAACAGAATAAATGAATAGACTCGCAGAGATTAAATTGATGATACTCGAGTTTGTATGATCTCACCAATTTACTGAAAACTGACACGTGAAGAGAGAGGAACCCACGTGCTCACTATTTATTTCAGCTCAGTCGCCTTTGGCCAGGAAACGGCGCTGGCATCCCAAACAGAAATAATTAGGACATATAGAGAGAGCTGACAAAAATGAAAAGGGGTGGGCACATGGGGAGCGAGGGGGTCGCCCTCCTTAATTGATTCCGTTAAACGGAGCGCAGTAGATGTGAACGACTGGACGCTCCCATTCCCACGCTCGAGGGCAAGTGGCAATGCCACGGCCCTATCCAGAATATGACAGACAGCGGCGGCGGGCTGGGGGGGCTGGGGGCGACATGGGTCATGAAAAGATGTCAAGTGCACCCGACTCATCTGCATCCCTTTAGAAAGTGGCGACCGTTCCCAGCCTCAGCAGACGCGGGCCCCAAAGCAGGAACAGTAGCCTAACGGCTGTGAATATCTCACAGGCTTGATAGCTATATACGCTGCTGCTGCTGCTGAGGTGAATTGTTTGTAAGTGTGGGAATAACAAAGCGTGCTTATGTAAAAGAAGTGGCGTATTGAGCTTGAAGTTTTGAAGCGTAGATTTGCTGCAGCTCTGCATTAGAGCGCGTTGAAACATGACATCACCACTATTGTCCTCAAAGCGCTTGCATTTGAACTTGACAAGTGTGAGATTTTGTTTTTCGTCTGGCTTAACGCCCTCTCATTACACCGTGTTTATTCTTTGCAGTAGACTTTTAATATAGATCTGCGCTATTGTGGATTTATTCAGAGCGTTAATAAGATATTTTAGAGGCCTATAAGGGAAGTTAGTTGAAGACTAAAATAGACATTTTTTTATAGGCTTAACACTGATTAAATCAGTAAGCCATAAAACATATTCTGTCTTCAATCATACAAAGGATTCAAGAAATTAAACACTTAGTGCAATGGTAATTTCATTCAAAATGTGAGTCTAAGAAATATCCCCTAGCTTTTACACATTTTAAAATTAAATAATTATTTTAATATCTAGCCAACTGCATTTATAAAACAAATAAATGCATTAAAATATGTTACTATTATTATTATTGTATTTGTAGTTTTGTTTTTCAAAATTGTGATGTATTGGAAAAGGGAAAAAAATGCTTTTTTTTAAATGCCTGACAAGCTGAAGTAGTTTTCATCCCCCAGCTCATGGCTGTGTATACCTGTAATAGCAGGGCCTTATGAGTTGCCAATAATAATAATAATGAAAGAGAGAGAACGTGATATTTTCAGGCAATTACCAGAATCCACTGTGAAAGACATTGTCACCTTGCCTTTTGATTTGAAGACAACTATGGTGTGTTAAAAACAAAAACCTGCGTTTTACTTATGTGTCATGCTAAATTAATTTGACATTTTCTCCTGTTTTTTTTATTTATTTTATTATTATTATTTTATTTTTTAATTTTTTGCATCACAAAACCATACATCTTTTCTTTAGCACAGCAGTCAAACCCTTCATAATTCCTCTTATGATAATGTTACATGTCCTCTCGTTTTACATATCCAGCGCTTGCTATGCACCAGGACTTGACAGTCAATCTATTCAAAATGTCCGCAATGCAATTTAATGTGTACTGTTGAAAGGTTGAATGTGGTGTTGAATGTTTGCAAATCATTTTTGAGATCACTTCTTTCATTACTGCGATACCACATGCTTTGAGTGATAGAAATGGGTCATGTTTTTTCAAGAATATCAGTGATACTATAGAGAAGACAGCGCTGCATGCTATAAGCCAGTGCTTTAACTTTAACATATAAAATACATATTTGATAT